ACATATTGCCTCATAGTTGGCCCTATTTTGTCCTTGGCAGGCAGATTGGCAATATTATTAGAACATAATCACTATTTTTGGCTTAACTCTGAAAGATATTTACGCCCTTTGTAGTATGCTGCAGCTATATTGTGGTTGCAACACGAATGGGTCTGGGTATGGGCTGGACCGCGGTAGAACCACGCTCTTACAGAACACCGGCGTAAAATAGTAGCTTAATGCTGCTGTGTTTATAGTGAGTGTAGAGAACCGGAGATCCTTTTTACTGGAAACGAGGCATTCCGTCTCAGTCGTCAGGGCTGACAACGTATGTGCATTTTGATTGTAATTAAATATAAATATAGACGTCTATGGGCCACAGTATCCACATACCGTCACGTGGACTGTGTACTCGTTTGTCACCCCTAGTCTATAAAAAAAGGGTATGCTGACAATGTTTGTAGACTTAAGAACACATTTAAGTATTACATACTTAAAAATAACAGTATAATATTATAATTAACATTCATTATTGGATACCACACGTATTTAACTATCCGGTTTTCGCGCCATTGAATGCCGAACCACATTGCTGTTCATCTGTTCATTTTTTTATAGAATAAGGGTGCCAAACCGGCACATACCTCATCTGATGGTAACTAGCTACTGTGGGCTATTAACATCTACATCTATCCTCGATTACGAATCAAAATGCAGATGCGTAGTCACCCGTGAGGACTAAGATGGAATGCCTCGTTTCAAGTAGAATAAGAGGAATGCCACGTACGAAAGCAGCGTTTAGCTGATATTTCACGCTGGTATTCTATGTCAGAGGGTCTCCTCTCACATAGAATACCCTCTCAAAAATGAAGGGAGGCCTGTGCCCAACAGTGGGATGTATATATGCTATAACTTTACTCGATTCATTTGCAATTGAGAAACAAAGGAAATATTAAATTAAGAATATCCAATTCAATCCTACCATAGAATATGACAATTGGAAGCGACCGCAAAAAAGGGCGAAAACAATGAGTTTCCATCGACCCCCCACTCTATAAGGCCTTAATCAAGCCCTGCCCTAAATTCGCCCACAAATTGCATCCAATTGTTCACTTTTTACCGCGAGGCGTGTTTGTAAGGGGTGGGTAAAAAAGGAATTATCTGTCCGTTGGCTGAACGCATCCGATCTAATGCATCCATTGAAGTCTATTGGCGTGAAAAAGCGACGGGAAAGTTTATAATTGTGGACAGACAACTGCCGGCTATGACGGGGACATCTGTAATTTCGTCCGGATTAAGCCCAGCATACGTGCAACGAACGTTAATTCTTTCCACTAATGACTTAAAGTTGATTAACGGTTAAAAAAATCATAGAAATAAAGGTCAAGGAGACACAGTCTCTCCGTTGGTAAGAGGTTGCTGTAGCATACGAATACAAGCTTATCCTCCATTAAAAATCAAAATGCAGATGCGTTGTCACTCCTGAGGTATAGTATAGCATGCCTCGTTGCAAGATAAAAAAATGTCTTCGGTTCAAGTTACACTCCATGGGATACACAGTAATATTATATATATATATATATATATATATATATATATGTGTGTGTGTGTGTGTATATGTATATACGTATTATAGGATAGGATGTGAAACGAGCGCACAGTCCACCTGATGGTAAGTGGTTGCTGTGGCCCATCGACATCTACATCTATCCTCGATTACGAATCAAAATGCAGATGCGTTGTCATCCGTGAGGACTTAGGTGGAATGCCTCGTTTCCAGTAAAAAGGGTCTCTGGTTCTTCACACTCACCATACGAAACACAGCAGCATTAAGCTACTATTCGACGCTGGTATTCTGTGAGAGCGTGGTCCCTCCCCGGTCGAGCCGACCCATTCGTGCTACAACTATACTACTAATATAACCGCAGCATGGCTCTACCATGTAAAAATAAAAATATGTATGATTCAATTTGGTATTTTGAAAACAAATTCAAAAAGTTGCGAGCTTGCGAGCTTGAATCCCACATTCTACTACTGTCCTCAATCACGACACAAGCGTTTCTAGCTTAGCTTAGTTTTCTTATGTTGAACATAGACCTTCCCAATTGTTCTCAAATGGCCATATTAGCCATAGTGGCCACATTTGGCACACGGGCTGTCAACCTCAGTATCTTGTTATTTCTTGCTCATCAGGAAGATGTTGCTGCCTATCACCTGTTTCACATTCCTCGGTCACCTCGTACGGCACCCACGGGATGATATGGGATAGTGAAATCAGAAATAAAATATAAGTAAAATGTAATTTAGGCACTAAAAATTTCCTAAAAAATTAAGTATTATATTAAAATTTTTATCTTCATATTTTATTCACAAAATATTTTTATTCTATTTTTGTAATCAATGTTTTTTTTTTAATAAAAAGGTTTAAGATACGCCGGAAAATCCTAAAAGCATATTTATACTAAAAAAATAAAGTATGAAAAAAAAAACACAATGTAATGCGTATAGTAGGTATATTTTGTTTATCTACGAATTTTAATCGCGTAAATTATAGTAAACGAAAACGAAAAATGTGTACAAAAATTTGAAATGGAACGAACACACAGGATATGTCAATATTAGACGAAAAACTGATGAGAGGTGCATAAATATTACAGTATTATTGTAGGAAGAAAGCCACCTGAATTAAAAGTAACTTTATTATTAAGAAATGTTTAACGATTAAAAACAATTATAAAATAGGATGTCTACGATGGCTAACGATACTTATAATGTTAAAAATAACGGATCCTTTCTACAATAACGCTGTATCTTCATCTCAACCGGGATTAGATAATAATTTGCGGTTTTCCTTTCGAGCACCGCGAAACCTCTTTTTTTTTACAAAGAGATCCTTTTTTATTTTCGCCAAGCGGATTATTTTTTTAAACGGGTTAAGTTTTTTAATACTTTTGTTTGGAAGGTGTGCGATATGCCTATGAAGATTTGCAGGTACCTGACCACTTTTGTGGAGATATTCATGTGATAAAGGGAACCTTTTGAAAAGGTTTCGTTTAGCTTAGCTATTTAGATTTTGTATTGTAGTGGAGTTCTTGAATTTTTAGAATGTATAAAACAGGTGCGTGTTGCCAATAAAATTAAATTTACATATATATATATATATATATATATATATATATATATACGCTGCAGCTATTATGATTGTAGCGTGAATGGGTCGGCTCGACCGAGTAAGACCCACGCGTTCACAGAATACCAGCGTAAAAATGCTGCTGTGTTTCGTATGGTGATTGTATAGAAACGGAGACCTGTTTTACTGGAGTCGAGGTATTCCATCTTAGTCTTCAAGGGTGACAACTCATCTACATTTTTATGTGTTTCATATATATATTATTGAAGTGGCAAATGAACTAACAGTGCAATTGATGGTAAAAGTCTTTTGAAGTCCAGGGACTTCTGCGGCCAACTTTATACACTTAAATAAGGTTACAAATGCTTTTTCACCTCTGAGAGCTAAACTTACATGTCTCACAGCTTGTTACTATATTGTATTTTTTAGAGTTTTTAAGAATAATATATTGAATTCATATCTATGGGTAATGCTACGTGGTAGAGAAATACCTACGCTCAAATTTTAAAATATTTTCTTTATAAAATCGAATTTTAGTCCTTTGAAAAAATTAAATTGATCGAAATGTTTATTAATAAAATAAATTGCCTATCCATTAGTGTCAATCGCAAAATAAAATAATGTTTACTTTATGAGGAGACACACGTTATCAATAATTATTTCCGTGGTTTAGTTGTAGGAAGAATCATCAAGTATTTACTGCTTTTAAAAAATTGGAATTGGCTTTTAGATAGATAATAGATAGAGAGTAGAGATAGAGAATAGATTTTCTATTACTTGATATATCTTTTTAATAACAAGTAGATAGCTCCTCAAAAACCTCACAAATAACGATTAGCGCAGCATTTTGCTCAACAACGCACCTTAATGTAAAATGTAAGTCGAAAGCCGAACAATCTACAGAGTTGGTATTATTTCATCTTAGCTTAACCACCGGGATCAATACACAAATGGTACTCAATAATCACCGTACGTACCGTGTTGTGGTGATGTAAGAGTATCCACTACATCATATCATCTCATGGGTGTTGTTACTGGCTATAGAAGGAAATTACTCGTAAAACTGGTGATAGGCAGCAGTATCTTCCCGATAAGGGGGTGTTCAAGTATTACGTAACGCAATTTTTAAGATTTTTAACCCTTGTAACGCGCCTTAACGTTTTTCTGTACCCCTTCCCCCCTCCCTAAGCGTAACATAATACCCAAATGACCATTTTTACCTAAAAGTTACAAAGTACCGTAATATTGCTAAAATACCTTTGTTTTTGTTTTAAACGCCTTAATAATAAAGAATGGTTTATAGATTATATACCTACCTATATGTGACATTATTACATTTTAGCAGTAAACTTAGCTGTGTAGAATAACTAAGCATTGTTGCTTTCTTCTTTCTTCTTTTAAATAATTTATGTTCTATAAACTATTCTTTATTTTTTAGTTTTTCTTTAGCCGTCTTCCTAAAACGTAAAACATAAGCGAAAAGAGTTGCCAACTTGGGATATTTTAATTCCCTAGTTTTTTGTTTAAATAGCGTAAAACATAAGCGAAAAGAGTTGCCAACTTGGGATATTTATTTTAATTCCCTAGTTTTTTTGTTTAAATAAAAAAAATGTTACGTAACGCATTGTTCGAACCCCCTTCCGCCCTTGTAACGCATCGTAACGTTTTACAAGACCCCCCCCCCTATTGCATTACGTAATACCTACTTGAACGCCCGCTAACAACTCAAAATAATAAAACACTACGGTGGCGTACCCCCTTGCCAAGCGTGGGATCCATGGCAAAATTCCACCTACAATTCATTCTATGGGGGAGGCCCATGTTCAGCAGTGGACATATATAGGCTGTAATGGATGGACACAAGAATCACTAATCGAAGCTCTTTTTATAGACGAGCTGATGCATAGTGCCGCGATGGGCAGCGGCGCCCTGTTCGGGTGCTCATCGGCCGGCCACAGCGGCATCAACCAGCTGGGTGGGGTTTACGTCAACGGGCGACCGCTGCCCGACTCCACGCGGCAGAAGATCGTCGAGCTGGCGCATTCCGGCGCCCGACCCTGCGACATCAGCCGCATCTTACAGGTCTCCAACGGCTGCGTCTCAAAGATACTCGGCAGGTCAGTTCATTGCTCAACTGCCATTGTGATTGGTAATGGCAGCGCACATATTATACCATGAGTCGTAATTAAGGTAGTGATGGGTTTCCAAAGTATTTGCTTAATTGAGAAATTTAGTTTTTGTCATTACTACCTTAATAGAGGTCTTGAATCATCATCATCATCATCATTATGGCCTTGTATACACAACAATACCTGCATTCGTTTCGTATAGAATATCTTAAGCATTCTTCTTTACATCACTACCAAGAGAAAATTAACATACTTTAAAATATACAAAACACAGTAATTCATCCGTATGTGGCAGTAAATAATAAATAATAAGTCGATTTCATAAATTGCTGTCTCCAACAATGGTTGTGAAATACTAGTAGCCTATTAAGTAGGTACTAAGTGAGAATCTATTTATCAAGAAATCAAAATCGGTTAATTGCACACTATACACAATGTGAAAAATGAACTAAATAAAGTACTGGGGGAGGGAGGGGAGGGAGGGGAGGGGGTTATTTGCATGCCATTAAGACATGAAAAAACTATTTTTCAAATTTTTGTTTGTCTGTGCCGTGGTAGCTCAGATGGTTAACGCTCGCTGTAAATATAACAAAACGCGAGTAACCCGGGTTCGATCCCCGCCAGCACCAATGAAATTGTTAATTGCATTTTTAAGTGCTGATTTACCACGTGCTCGGCGTTGAAGTTAAACATCGTGAGGAAAACTGCATGTCTGAGGAATAAGAAAAAAATATTTCGAAGACATGTGAGATTCGCCGACACGCTTTGGGGTAGCGCGGCAGACACTTCCTTGCCTTAAAACCCTCTCAGAAATGAGGGGAGGCCTGTGCCCAGCAGTGGGACGTATATAGGCTGTAACTTTTGTTTGTCTGTCTGTCTATTGGGGTTAATATTTGTAATGGCTAATCCGATTGTAATGAAATTTAACGAAGAGCAATTTGATGAATGAATTGATAAAATAAATGGTCATTGAATTCTACCCAGGCGAAGCCGGGCCGGGTCGCTACTCGCTAGTCGTAAGAATGAAAGTACCACTTCGATCAAGTATGAGAATTTAGAACATACGAAACAGCATTTTAAGGTGTTATTGCAATGAAAATAGAAATTCGTTTCAAAACATCATATCACGCACCTATAAGGGAAACGTCAAAACCAAGCACCCATGACAATGAATTAAACTAAAAGAGAAGAAAGACTTATTCAAAACGGTCCTTATTGTAGCGTCAACAAAACGCAAAGAATCGATTATGTCAAATATTAAGATGGGGTCAAATTCTTGAGCCACGCGTTGACAAATTGACTTAGTTCCCATAATACCGCCCAAGGTATAGCACAATGAAAGGAACAATGATCGTCGCGGACAGAATTAAAGAATATTTCAATGACTTAATCAATACAATGCGATATAATAGTTCGAGTTTGCATTCCCATAGTGTATTGTTTTTGGTTGAAAGGACGTGTGCTCCGCGGGTGAGGTGGGATTTGACACAGGGTGCTATGGGGTGCCGGCTCTAATTTCTCGCCGATTTATTGTTTGATTGCGATTTTATCAAGTCTGAGAGGATTTCGGCCCTCGCTCGCGATTGCTAAGTGAAACGCTTACGCATAACTCTATTCAAGTGCAAAACAGTTTGCTCTCAAAGCTAAGCCAATAGCTTAAATTTGTGTGACTCAAAAAATATTTAACACTCGTATTCTATTACTTATTAATTTTAGTTATTTTCAAATTTTTTTTAGAACTCTCTCTCTCTCTCTCTCTCTCACTTATGAAAGAGGACATAGGAAGTTATTAAAATTTTAAGTTGGTTTTTGATAGTTATAAGGTATACATATTCAAACCATTTAAATATTATCGATATCGTCAAATGTGCGCAATTTAACTAAATACACTATGTAACCCTTTATAAATATATAAATACACATTTAACTCTTAATTTTGCATCAAAATGAACTCAAAAGAATAAGAACAAACAAAGTTGTCAAAGTTTAGATGCAATGAATTTTATTAATTAAACTATTCAATTGAATTGTAATAAAACTATTAAATTTAAATAATTTCAACGAAATAAATAAAGGTTTTTATTCATAATTATTAATTATTGCGGAATAAAGAGGTTAAAAATGCAAAAGTCAATGGAGAACAATAAAAATATCAAAGACTTGTGTTGTTGTGTCAATCAAAGAAACTAAGCATTTTAATATAGGGTGTGCCTTGCAGGGCTGTCCCACGACCGCCCCTAAATAAAAATAAAAATAAAACATTATTTCGTAGTAATTGGCGCCCCTACTGTGGCAGACTGCTTGACGCCGCTTCAAGAGATCTTATAGGAAAATGATTTGGCCGGGGGACATAACGTTTGGCCCAAGCCCTTGTAATTCTGATGATCTTGTTTGTTGTTGTTATAAAGCAAATAGTTTTTTCCTTAAATTAATAAAACGTTGTCTAAAGAGTTCCTGTGAAAGGAAGACAATAAAAAAATTAAAACTAAGGTACGTGAGGTAATATGGTCACCTTAAACTTTGCCGTCCTGTAAAACCAAAACTAGGAGTAAGATAGATACAAATTCACAAAGTTGTATACTATCACTAATATATCAATAAAAACAAGCAAGCTTTGGCAATAATTAGGAATACTTCAAAAAAACTAACTACGTTAAGCCATATTAAATCGACTAAAATATTTACTATAATATCAACTGTTAAAATGGCTTCGATAAAGCAGCGTCCTTCTGACTCTTTAATATTTTATTGGCCGACGAAGTGCTATCGGATCATATAGCCGTCAATGCAAATAAGGCTGTAGTTTTTGAGCTATAAGAAAGTGACCATATTAACCGGATGACCATATTACCCTCACGTACTTAATTACGCGTCAGAATTTGAAATGTTTTATTTTCCATAGATACATATTTTTTAATCTGATTTTTAAAAAAGTTTTTTGTATATTGTCTATTTGACACCGTCACAGTCGCAGTGCTAGACGTTAAATTACACAGTATAATGTCACTTTTGTCGCTTCAAACGAAACAAGAACGCCGCTACCATTTAATTGTTACAGTATCGCATTACATCGTAATTCAATTATATTCTTACACGTGTAAGATTATTGGGTCCAAATCGAAATCGAAGGCTATTGTTTTTCATAGAAGTAAAAGTATATTTAGTCGATGCTGTAGCCAATTGGCATTTTTACAGTATTTGGCAGTTAATTACATTACACCTTGATTAAGAACGAAAATGCAAATGCATTGTCAACTATGAGGACTAGATGGAGTGTCTCGTTGCCAGTAAAAAGGGTCTCCGGTAATGCTTGCCATACGAAACATAACAGCGTGAAACTTCTATCTCATGCCCATATTTTGTGTGAGATTGTTCCTTCCCTGGTTAAGTTAATCATATTACGCTGTAGCGTGATTCTACCACGTCGTATGTGTAGTGTTTTAAAATTAAATTTTACAAAGGAGATGAAGGAAATTGGGTGCTTGACATCGTTCTGAACAGTTATACAAAAATATGTAGGTAATAAAACGATAAATTATAAGCATAGTATATAGTTTTTATTTCTATTGTGCTTGGAACAATCATAAAAACATTTTATAAACTGACAAACAGAAACTAAATGCTTTTACTATCAAAGATTTAAATACTATGGCAAAAACTACCTCTACACTCCATAGAAAACGAAACGTTTTTAATTCTTTTTAATTAAGAATTTTGGCTTGGACGCTGGTCTTTTAAGCTATATCTTCATTTCATTCAGGATTTTACTACATCGCCTACAAATCATAAAATTAATTAAAGAAAACCCCAGGCTCTGCAAAAATATGATTTATTGACATACTTATCAAATATTTAAATCTTCTAAAGAAGACATAATTGAACTTTGTTCACGCCGGGCCCAAACTTGATCGTATAATTATTTTCTTTCCTCTTTTTAAGGTAATGGTTGTCACGGTGTTTGCCACTATTTACGGGGTGCACGCAATCAGAAACATCTTTATTAGAAAAAAGTCTAATACCTACATCACAAAATAAATAATAATTTAAATAAATATGTTGAAATTATTTTTCAGTTTGTAAATTTTACTGAATCTACATATGATGACGATTATTTGGAATATAATACGATACATCAGCTAGCTTCCATAAGATTGAATTTTTCTTAAAATCTTAAATACTTATTAAAGAAATAAATTGATATTTGTTTTTGTGCGCAGTGAACGCATAAATTTTTCTCAACAAAACTAGAATGGAACTGCATACAACAATATCACGGCTGCAAATGCTCTTCGCCTCGTGGTATTTTTCCCACACGCCCCTAGACATTCTTATCGTGCCAATTACTGAAAGGGGTTACGTGGTTCTTAGGGTCTGCAGAAAGGCAAGCGTGGCGGGACTCCTAATTAAGAAGCACCCCCGCTGTTAGGAATTTCACTCTTGATTTTGTTTTTAACTGTTTGGTTTTTGATGATGTGTGCTGCTAGATTGCCAATCGTGTTTTGTAATTTTTTACTTTAAGTTTCAATTGATTGTTTTAAGTTGTATTAACTAACTTTGGCTATAAAAAATCATATTAGTGTTAATTTATTCTAACTCTTTTTATGTCATTTTCAATTTTTTCTGTGTTAATTGGCATAATCCAAGAAATATTAAAAAAGAACAAAACATATAATTCTTATATTTAAAATTTTATCCTATATTTATACGTATATTACTAATATTTGAATCAGTATTATACGTAGGTATTAAGTAATGTGAGAAAAAAGAAACATTAGTTTTTATTGAATGTTTTTGATTACCTAAGCATTTTTTATATAATAAGGGTGACAAACGAGCACACAGTCCACCTGATGGCAAGCGTTTGACGTGGCCCATGGACATCTACATCTATCCTCGTTTGCGAATCAAAATGCAGATGCGATGTGGGTCGTGGGGACTAAGATTAAATACCTCTTTTCCACTAAAAAGGGTCTCCGGTTCTCTATATCACCATACGAAAATCAGCAGCATTAAGCTGCTATTTTACGCTGGTATTCCGTGTATATTAGGTTTCGACCAATTTTTCAAATATTTTTGTAAAACACTAACTATTTTATTATCACATAAGCTCCTACAGTTATTAAGCTACGAATAACCTCAAAAACAATTTCCGATAAGAGTTCAACTAATTTGGCCCCCGGAAAATCTAAATCTAATCTTTGACCCCCTCGAGCTACGCAAAAGTATATCGCTAGAAACAAGGGACTTTCTCGTCGCACAAAAGTAGAAACGGTTTGGTAACAGCAAGTTAATGATTGTAAATGGTCGATATCGTATTATTAGTTCTGAACGCAACTGATTTCGATCAATTTATTGTTGTCCTTTGCAATAACCGCGCGGTTGGACGGCAAATTGTTCGCAATTTCTGTACCGTTGATCTATTGTGTGGAGACTTGCCGGTGCGATAAAACCTTTTTGGTTGATAACGAATTTTGCTTTAATTGGTTTACTGAATTTTCTGGCCTTAAAGGGTTTATACCTTACGATTATTAAAGGGTAAAAAAAAACATTTTGCTCTTTGCCTTCATATTTTGTAGTAATCTATAAACTTAACCATTTGAAATTTGTCTTCCACTACATATTGAAGTTTCGACGATATGCACTTAATCTTGCTGGGTTGTGATTTCTTCAGCAAATTCACTTAAACACTAACGCGGCGTAATGACCAAAAACGAGTCTTGGCCTCAGACAATAAAAGACGCCACTGAGTTCTATTCTAAGCCGACTCCAGTCTCGGGTCTAAAGTTTCCTACTTCTGTGGACTTACGTGGTAGCCCCGATACAGGGTATATGGACCAGGGATAATGTTAGAACAATGCCGCTGTGTTCCTTAAAGTACGGAATAGTGACGAGAAGGTTCCAGCTAAGGCTTCATCTTAGTCCCTCAAAACTGACAATGAATCTGCGTTTTGATTCTTAATTAATGATTGATGTTGGTGTTTACGGAACACTATGCTATAAAGTGGACTGTGTACTCGTTTGTCACACTTATTTAGAAACAACTAAAGAAACTTAAAGAATATTGCGATATATTACAACAGAATATTGCGACATTACAATCTGTAATTAACAACACATTTCAACTAACGTACGTGAGGGTAATACTATAAACCAAAACTAGGAGAAGGGCAGAAACAAAAACGCAAAGTCGTATACTATAACTAATATATGTACCTATTACGAAAAAATAGCAAACAAGCTTTGGCAATATTTAGAAACACTTCGAATAATCTACTTAAAAAAACTGACTAAAATAATAATATCAACTGTCAAAATGGCGTCGATAAAGCGGCGTCCTTTTGACCCTTTATTATTTGATTGACTGATGAAGAACTATCGTATCACAAAGCCATCTATGCAATATAAGGCTGTAGTTTTTGAGTTATAAGTGTAATATTAGTACTAGAGTTAGGTTGTGCGATGAGTGTCTATAACCAACAATGGAGTTTTACTGGATAGTATAGGATATAACGATAATCACATTAATTATTAGATTCCAAGTGATGAAAAATAAAATCGGTAATTTTTATGTTTTTAGTCGAAAGTGTTTTACAGCTTTTTATTAGTATACCTATGTTAGTCATTTTCTACATTGGTAAAAAGTAAAATGGCTTTATTAGGCTATTTTGTAGCCTAATTCCATCAAACAACCGCTTTTATTAAATCTAAATGATTATTTAAGTAAAATCTCATCTGTTTCAAGAAGTTATATTAATTTCAAATGTGTGTTGACCTCGCGAATCTCTACTACTCAATTAAACTGTAGTTTTACGCACGCAGCGAGACTTATTCCGAAATCCACCGCCCGAGGCGAAAACGATTACTCGTTGCCAGCGGCGACGACCCTCGACACTGTAATAGTCCTCCACAATGTCAACTGAAGTATTATCGACAGATGACACGCGTGCCTCCATCCAATATTGTTTAGACACGCATTGACATTACTTACTGATATTTAAAAAAAATGTTCCTTTGTGTGTTATTGTTTTCGCATGTCAATTTTATTGTAATTCGTTTCTATTTTATCTACCTACTGTTATTTTTTCTTTGTGGCATGCGCTGTCAAAAGGAGTTTTAGGTGGAAACTTTATAAACAAATAGATTTTGTTTATTTAAACATTCAAGTAATTTTCATATTCACGGTAAATAAACACTTTTAAAATTATGTTGATATACGATTTTACAATCTTTTTATTTATTTAATTATAGTTCTAAACGGAAAAAATATGTAAGGTATAACAATAATACCAATTTTACAGAACAAGTAATAAAAATCTTGAGACTGAACTTCTGACAGACAGATGTATGTATTGAGTAATATGGGATGCATTTGATAATTCGTTAAATACGTTAAAATTTTACCCTGTATACGGACATTTGTCTATCTAACAATGCTTCAGCTTTGAGTACACCTGTGTTAACGCCAAATTTTCTGCAAAATATTTGTAAAATCTTTAATTTTCTGATTTTAAGGTTCACTTTGCAACGTTCTATTTCATACGAACAAATGTAAGTTGTAGATCGAAATGTGTGTATAGGTACTTGAAGTTAAGGGGATAGTTCGAGAGATTATTTGTGTAATTGTGTACTAATACCTTTCAAGTGGGATGTTGAGGAAGCTGTTGGAATATTTACAATAGCAAAGTAACAGTATTATTGAAAAGAAGGAACAGTGGAATGCCAGTTAGCTATGTTATTTAGAACATATAGATTATTTAGTTTTTTTTTTACAAATAAAATCACAATTTATCACAAAAATTAAGCACCCGATAAAAATTTGCTCGGTCAGTGATACTGATTTATAAATTAACTGAACAAGGATTTAATAGAAAAGGACTTCTTTTCTTTTTAAACGGAAGAAATTGCAGACGCTTTGTACAAAATTTAATTTGGTATTTTTTTAAACAATGTCAGCCAAGTCCTGTGCTAATGTAAAAAAAGTTTGTGGAGAGGATTTCTTTGCTGCTGTTTAAAGTAATATTTACCATTCAATGTTATGTAACATTTTACAACGCTTGCATTTTTTTGGATACTATCTTCTATATATAATTTATCAAAGAAAACACTTTTCAACTGAATAAGTTTTACATTTCTGTGTATTGCGCTCTCGCCACTTTCCACAATCCAAACTAAGTTCAGCTTCGCACGCAGATATTACGAGACGGGGTCGATAAAACCGCGCGCTATTGGGGGCTCCAAGCCGCGAGTTGCGACCACGCCGGTAGTCCAGAAGATCGCGGACTACAAAAGGGAGTGCCCTTCGATCTTCGCGTGGGAGATCAGAGATCGTCTGCTCAGCGAAAATGTGTGCAATAACGACAATATACCTAGCGTGAGTATTTTTGTATTTTGCTTTTTAAACCATTTTGTATTTTTAATTTTTCAGCCAGTTAAAATTATATTGCTTCCAAAAACTTATAAAAAAATTCCATAGGCATTCGAATTAGGTACACTCGTCGATATATGTACTACGCACTAGATATGACATTCCGAACACTCACTATATTCAACTGAACTGTATTGCAATCCGTACACCTGTTATTGTGGCTTCGATATCCATGTAGTGCGGAGCGGCGCTAATAATATTTTTTTATTAAATTAGCACATATGCAAAATAAACGAAAATTAAAAAAAATGTACTTGATTAACAATACAATCTAAATAATTATTTATTATGACAATTTTCGCGCGTTTACATCAAATGCGCATGCGCGACTACTGTTTCCCGCGCATGTGCAGATACAGAGTAGTGCACATTTTTTGTTTAGAATAGCTTCTCTAGTACGTAGTACATATAACTCAATAGGTACACTATTGTACTTTGTGGTACTTTGTATTAAATTGTTACTTTATTTACTGCATGCCATTTACACTCTGCAGCTATATTTTGACTGATATCATTTATGAATATAGAAAGAGGCTTACGAAATTGGTTAGATTTTATTCGGTAAATATTAAGTGTGTGTATTATTCCTCATAAGGTCATAAGTTAATTTACTTTCTTTTAATATACGGTTCAAATGGTACATATGGAGTGCTCCAGGAGGGTTGAACTGCCATTTAGTCCCATCATTAGCCAATAAATCCGCTAATTATGTAAATAAACTTTTAAAGATCATTTGTAACATAGCTTGTAATTCTTTACTGGTGCCGATAAAGTTGGTGCCACAATCACTAATAAGTTTAGAACAATGGCCTCTTGAACGAATTAAAATGGCCTCTACGTGCAGTAAATCGGTTGATAGCAGAAAGAAAAAGCCAAAAAAACCCTCTTCTTAAGCTGGTCACTAAATCTAAACTTTAACTGAAATACCTACCTATAAATAAAGGACTGGCTATCTGTCGTGAGGGGTGACATGTTTTTATATTATTTCTTTTATTGATCCATTTATTTAGGAATATCAAGATAGCACAACAATTATTATAACAATTATACGATTTGTATTATTATTTCTCTATGATTATATATTAACTTATTCTGTGTTAACTAAGCAAATTTATATGGCAGATGTGAACGGCCGAGTCGGGAAGGGACGCCCTAGAGAAAAGTTTATCGATCAAATTGGCGATATTTTGAAAATGGGCCACGTTAGAAGTACCCTTAACCGACGAGCATGTATGCGTAGATTATATGGATGTAAAGGAGGCGAAAGAGGTATGTCAGGATCGTGCCAAATGGAAGTCCGTAATCTCTGCCTACCCCTCTGGGTGACAGGCGTGAGTGTTTATGTTATTATGTGTTAACTATTGAAAAACTTCTAGTACCAAACTTTTAATATTTTCTAATACTAGTTGTTTTTTAAAATAAATTTATTTTTAAAGCTTATTATTCATTTTTCACATGTTTTTGACCTATCCACACGAGCGTTAACGAAAGATAAATATGCCATGCGGGATTTATCGTGCATTTATAAGTCCGCTGGTATCTTAGGCACTGAATCAGCGCGTCGACCGTTTTCAATAGAAATATGGATGACAATAAGCACACAGTTCACCTGATGGTGGAACGCGTGCAATAAGCAGCATACAATTACCATCATGGTAAGTGAATGCTTCTTCCAATAGTCACCAACATCTATCCTATATCGGATATCGATTCTTTACGAAAAAGATCGATTTTTAAATCGGTTTGAATCGAAATCAGATGAATCGATTAAAAAAAATCGAGGTCTTAAAGATCGATTTCTCAAATATCGATCTTTTTCGATTTGCCTTAAAAGTTTATATTTACATTATCAAAAGATACAGCAAAGTAGGACACAGATTACAAACGTAAAATATTTTTTTTCTTTAATCCATTACGAAGTGGCGGAAGAAACTAAGCACACAGCAGTTTTGCGAGTTTTTATTATATTTTATAGTTCTTATAAAAACAGGAAAAGATTCGATCTCGATTCTCTAGGGTGAAATATCGATTCACTGTATAGATTCAGTAGATACTATATATCGATTAATCGATCTCAGATCAACATGCTTATTCCCAAATTCCCTTATACTAAAACACTGCTCAATTTTAAGATACCGTTAAGTAACGTGCTGTCTTTATTACTTCAAGTCATAGTGACTTTTGACACCATGACTCTTACCGACAACTTAAATTTGAATACGTTTGAGTATTTAACCAACAGCAATGAAAGTTATACGTGGTAGAGCCACGCTGCATATCATAGTTGTAGCACGAATGGGTCAGCTCGACCGGGGCAGGACCACGCTCTCACAGAATACCAGCGTGAAATAGCAGCGTAATGCTGCTTTGTTTCGTATGGTGAGTGTAAAGAACCGGAGACCCGTTTTACTGGAATCGAGGCATTCCACCTTAGTCCTCAGGGGTGATAACGCATCTACATTTTGGTTGTTAATCGAGGTTAAATGTAGATATCTATGAGCCACAGTATCCACTTACCATAAGGTGAATTGTGTACTCTTTGATCACCCTTATTCTAAAAAAAAGAATGAATGCATGTGCCCAGCAGTTTTATTACATTTTGTTTAAAAAATATAATTTTTTGACTGGTTACTTCAGGAGCGAGCCGTGGAAGCTCAGTGGTTAACGCTCGCTGTAAATATAACAGAACGCGAGTAACCCGGGTTCGATCCCCGCCGGCACCAATGAAATTGTTAATTGCAATTTTAAGTGCTGATTTACCACGTGCTCGGCGGTGAAGGAAAACATCGTGAGGAAACCTGCATGTCTGAGGAATAAGAAAAAAAATATTTCGAAGACATGTGAAGTTCGTCAAGACGCATTTGGGCAGCGCGGCGGACACTTCCTTGCCCTAAACCCTCTCAGAAATGAGGGGAGGCCTGAGCCCATCAGTGGGACGTATATAGGCTGTAACTTTACTTTACTTTACTTTTTACTTCAGGAGCAATGAATTGAACTTTAAACGTCCACAATAAGTCAATAAGTAGACAAATAATTATTTCGAAGGTTCAAAGCAGCAAAGTTCTAGTAAGTATTAAAAGTTGGGACTTACAAGTTCAATTGAGCGCAGTCCAACAGTTCTTCTGTTTGTTTTAATTAAACAAACGTGTTCATCACTTTGTACACGTATGACGAATGTTTATTATAAAAGACAAGTAAAAGACAGCTGGCGACTTCTGGATTATAATAATATAGATAAATAATTTTATTTAATTTCCAAACGCATGTTTACATACAGGAACAAATATGATTACAATTATATAAAGTAACAATAAGTCTTACAAAAACATATGCTATAATAAAATTAAAACTATGCAGCGCTTAATTATGTAGAATCTACAAAAGAAAAATTGTAAAGTCAAGTTTATAATATTAGCTACCTGCGTGAACTAGGTTGAGTACCTGTGTTTCAGACTCTAATAGATAACTAAATATTGAATACAGACTTTTCTTCGCGTTTAATTTTAAAAAAATCTAAAGATAAACTTACGAAAAATTTTACAATTTAAAAAGGTTACTTTCACTTTCATTCATTGCAGCCTATCAAAAGCCCACTACAAATCAAGTACCTCCCCCATAGATAACCACATGGGGGGATATTTCCCATAGTTGTTACGGTTGGCAGGTGGCAGCCGAGTTGAGAACAGAACAGCAGTTTTCTGTTTGTTTACGCTGCCCATATTCTCTTTCATCACCCTCGGTCGCCTCTGACGACACCCACGAAATGAAATGGAGTACTTGATTCTCATATACCATCATTACAGGGCACACACCTACACACTATGCTCATGGTATTACTTTGTAAGCCTTATCAAATGTTATATTTGTTCTCAATATATCTCTCTTTGCTCACCTTCACTGCTCTATAGAAATACGAGTGCAATAAAGAAAATCAAGATTCTATTAAACGCAACAATGTTGACGTCAAAACATGTTTCAATATTTGTTGGATTTAATTAAATTTACCAAACATATGTCGTCGGTCTATTGTGAAATTGTAAACAACAATATGGCCACACTTTTGCACTTTTGCGAACATTTATTACAGATTCAAGTTAATAAATAATCAGGTATATGTTAAATATATAATCTTTTTTTTTTTAATTTATTTATAAGGAAATTTGGATTTTTATACGTGGTAGAGCCATGCTGCACTTATATTAGTAGTATAGTTGTAGCACGAATGGGTCAGCTCGACCGGGAAAGGACCACGCTCTCACAGAATACCAGCGTAAAATAGTAGCTTAATGCTGCTATGCTTCGTATGGTGAGTGTAGAGAACTGAAGACCCTTTTTAACTGGAAACGAGACGTTATATCTTGTCCTCACGAGTGACAACGGCCCTGCATTTTGGTGTAATCGAGGATAGATGTAGATGTCTATGGGCCACAGCAACCACTTACTGTGCTCGTTTGTCACTCTAACCTATATCCTATGTAAAAAAACACCTTTCTGACTGGTTAATACATTTAATAAATTTACTGTAGGTACTTACCTACTACTATTTCGTACATTAAGCTAGATCACAATTCCAACCAAAACACTTCGTTATTGTTTTGGGTGTTTTAAACTAATTATTCTAACAAAACTGGTATAATTCGAAATATATGACAAATGTTTGTATCTTAGATTGTATTGTTAAGCTACTCAGATTATTGTTGTATAATCTAAGCTTCGCTATCTGTCTTATTTTGTCTTTATCAATTTTACAAAATAAAAATAAGTAAAGTACCTACCTAGTTGATCAAAAAGACGTTGATGTTTGGAAAACAAAATTTTCAATACTAACATCATTTTCGTATCATTTTTATTTCATTATATTTCAATGCCAGAATTATTTTCAGAGATATCATGGTCACACGATGAATATTCATAAAGTACAATTGGATGAAGCTAGGGACTATACA